GTGAAAATATATTCTAGCAAACACCACATTATATTGGGCAAAGATATATTTTAATAAAAGGAAATTTATGAGTAATAGCAGTAAGTTTCTCAAAATGCACTGCAACATATGACATTTCCTACTGCTTCTCTAAGTACACAAAAACACCCTCTTCACATAGTTTCCCAAAACAAGTCACAAACATGCACTACAGGAAGACAGAACTCCAGTCCTAAAGACCTGACAAGCAAAAAATACATAATGGGGAAAGCAGAAATTTTAGAAAAACCCACATATGTATGCATGTCTCCAGTCTCACATTCACCCACCCTATCAAGCTGCTATTCCTTCTTGCCCTTGTTAGCTTCGTAGAACCAAAATAGAGCACAGAGAATTAAAGAATTTTAACATTCAAGAGGGAACAAAACTCAATAAGCTTCAATCCCTCATGCCTCTCCAAGCCAGCTGAAAATGGTGGGATTCCCTCAGGTGGCCTACAGAACAAAGGCAGGTAGAGGCCCAAAACTACAAGTTATGGCTTTAACATTAATTGCAAGGATTTTACAAAATTCCTGCAGAGTGGCTTTTAAATAGACCTCAAACAATTAAAATCTACTTCTATGCAGAGAACTAAGACCAGCCTCACTACTACTGTACTGTTTCATTTGATTTTATGTTTTCAATCTTTCCACCACATATTCATCCTGTCTACTTCTTACAAGACATTCATCCCAGCAGCAAGAGTTACTATGGTGGGGAGCGTGTTCCAGTAATTTATTAAACTGTCAATATTTCCATTCTCCTCTCTTCACAGGGAAATCCATGCATGCAACAAAGTTTAAGTAAGTGGGGTAAACTTTACACCTCAAGTCAACCTCACCACCAAGACATTAGATGAAAATGTCTTTGGCGCATGAACTGCCTGCTACTCTCTGTTCACACAGTAACCTGCACAACAGCCCCCTACCCTTCTTTCTTGGTCCACAAGCACTGGACCACGATAAACAGGTAGAACATAAATAAACAGGGAGGATTTTTATGGCTTTCAGTTCCAGTTTATTGTAAAACTTAACTCATGCTTAAAAAAGTCACACACTTGGATTCTAATTGTTAAAATATTATAAAAAAATAATTTCTAAAAATCTTTAAAGTTCACAGGTATTAGGACCACTTTGCAGGCTCCATTACAGTTTAGGAACTATTTTATTTAACTTATAGCACAAAAAAGAAAGAAGTGTAGTATTACCAAATAGCAGTACCAAAATCAGATTTTTAAGCTTTTGTATCTTAAGAATGGTCACCACACATTTTTAGATCCTGGGACCTTTAACAGCAAGTCAACTAAAAAGACTGCATTTGTCAGACTAGATTACTGATTTCAAGCAACTCCTCCCCCAGTCATGTGGCTGTGCTCTGCACTCTATCAATTAAAACTTGTTTAATCTTAGTCACTATCACACACGCAAAGATTAAACAGTAACCTGTAAGGGCCTGTGACACATGCTGTTCACGTTTAATTTTGTTTTAGCAGAAGCTAAAGATTCCCAATATTTTGCTAAGCAACACCCTAATCTGAGAACAATGTAGATATTACATGATTCCTTTTCCTCTGAAATCATGCTGTGTTCTATAAGCACGCCTTTCCTAATCCCTTTTCCACTACCGACTAAAAAGGATCAGATTCTCTTCCAACTGTCTGAATAGGCATCAGTTCCCAAACTGGGGTGCAGGAGCTTCTGGTGATCACAAAAGGCCATGATCCAGGGTCTGTAAGCGGTGTTACAATCACATAAACCAGTAAAAAACAGTCATATTTTTGAACTGACACAGGTCAGTTAATAAATCAGTGTTTTCTGAACTTGTAAGGCAATACCACTGCCCACGGAGATGTATCGGTAAATTATACACTTATAATTGTCCAATATCTTATTGATTTCCTTACTTACCAAGTTTTTTCCACTCCATCACTGAAAGCAAGGCCTCATTAACTAAACTTTTAAGACACTATTAGATACCTGCTAATTACCTAAGAATCACAAAACTGGTAAGCCACAATGTTAAAAGTGCAAAAGACTTCCCAGTGGAATCTGGAAGCAGGTATCCATGTTTGCACAGAGCTGAGCTCAGGCTAACGAGCCACATTAGCCCCTACCTCCTGTGCTTTTGCTCTGCCTCCCCCTGTGCCTCTGCTTCCAAGGAGGGGCCTGGGAAACTCAAGCTGGCTTCATGCAGGCAGTGCATAGTCCATTCCAGAAATGGATTTGCTGGGAAAAGCAGTTAAAAGACATCCTCAGAGCACCAGTATTAACCACTTAATTTGTTATTTAATGCATGTATTCAATATCCTGGAAAACAAACACTTAACTGTCTTCAATTAAATAACTCTTCCAGTCACTTGTTAAAACCAATGCCTACACAAAGGCAGCAGTCAGCATGGCTTCAACTTACCTAATAACTGTTTTGAATACCATGTTCCCTAAACTATACACAGCCGGACTTCCTAGTTTTCAGAACTGTACTGTCTACTGCAACACAGCAGCACACACTGGAAACTGATGCTTTACAGTGCCTGTGACATTAAAAATGCACAGCTCTTTTATTTACCTGTACATTTTTAGATGCATTCTTTACTGTCTTAGTTCATAACAAGCTGATGAACTAATTCTTGCCTAGTATTTTAGAAAAAAAGGTGCTGAGCACTGATATCTCTACTACACAACTTATGACAGCTTTTTATCAAAGGATCACAACCTGAAAAAACAGGCACATCATCCTAAATGACCTGAGTATTTCCAAACCAAAGAAGTCTGGATTTGAAAAAAAAAAATCTTACAGTTTTGAAAATTAATTTGTTCCTCTTGATAAACCACAAAGAAAAAAAATAACCAATAGTCATTTCAACACAGGCTTTAGGACAGAACACAAACAGCCAGCAACTACTGATACTTTGCCAAAAGTGCCAGATAGACGAATACTATTAAACAGCTATAGCCAGTGCAATCTCTCATATCCTGCCTTGCAAACTTCAATTAGATCCATAAGACAGTAGGCACATTCTTTATCATCATTAATATAGGAGATAATTTTTGTACCTAAAATAGCAGAGTCTGATTTCCAAAATATGCAGAGATACAAAGATTTATCGTACTGATTTTCTTTCTCTGCTACACTTCTCCACAAAAACAAATGCTAAGCAGATTAAATAAAGAATCCGCCATATGCAAATTTGTAAATGCATATCATTCTCCTCATGTAAAAAGTTTTCAAAATGTAACTTATTGAGTTAAATCTTTAAGACTTTAAAACATGTTACAAATTTTATGCCGTCATACATAAATTTTGTATCATCAGAAATTTAAACCATTTTTCTGTTTTTTTTCTGAGAAGTGTTACGACATCTTTGCAAACATACAGCTTTAGAAACTGATTTAGAGAAAGACCAATTTTCATGAGACTTGTAATAATCCCTAAATCCAGCAAAACTGCTTTTGACCCAAATGCTAACTTCAATTCTGTGATAATCAACTATTAAGCAGCTCTACCTTACAACAGATTCACTATTAAAAATAATCTTTAAGAAAAAGTTACCTTTAATTCAGAATTGCTGATGTTAAGACTATCAGGTTAATAAGGTATAATTAAACCTAGGCATTTAAGTGCAAGCTTGCAGGGAAGAAAATTATCTCAGGAACAAAACTAACTACTTCTGTGCAGATTATTTTGAATTCAACTCTCTGCTCTAGCGGCTTTGGGAACTGGCAAAACAGGAAAATCTTGAAAAGGGTGTTTATACACCTAACCCAGGTTTTGTTCACTTAAGACACATTAATAATCCATTGCTAGTGGCAGTTCTTTTGTAAGAAGGAACATCAACTACTGACAAGACTGCTGAAGAGGCTCTTTTTAAAATACATGCTTACTGCAAAACAAATCAACTAAACACTCAATGTAAGAACTGATGTAACAAGTAGATGGAGCAAATTAATCTGCATCACAAGCAAGATCCCCCCCTCCTACAAGTTATTTCAGAGAAGCTGCTAGAGGAATCAGATACACAGATGCTTCCTCTTTCATTGTGCATATACAACTGGGATGTGGAATGTACTCTCACTGTGTTCAGACCTGTCCCAGATTTCGCTCCTATCTGAAACACGAGGGAAGACTCTCAGTCTCTCTCTCTTCCCCCAGCGCTGGCAGCCACCCTCTGCAGCAGGGAGGGCTCTTACCGCCAGGTTCAATTGCACGTTTCGAATATTTGGAAAGAAAAACAAACCGCTCTCTCTTAGACAAAAGCGACTCCTACTAAGTATTTGCAGTCCAGGCTGTCCAAGCCTGGCAGGGAAGAGGGGGCTCCCGCGCACCGAGGGGAAGCCCAGCCGGCGCCGCTCCGGGGGGCTGTCTAGCGAGGGGCAGGCATCGCCTCACGGCCCTGGAGAAGCGTTTCCTGAGGGAACGCTACCTTAAAGCATATGTCCGAGGAGAAGAAGATGTTTAAATTTCTACGCACAGGGACTGGAAAAAAGATTAAATCCCACCTGTGCAGGCAGGCACACACACACATTGATAAAGGACACTCCAACCTCTCGTACCGCCGGGCTGGCAGGACCGAAGCCCCCCACAGTGGGGCGGGAAGAAGGCGCGGGGAGCCGAGGCGTTTCAGGTGTCGCTGTAAAGGAAAGGGCAGAGAGGGGAGGCTGGAGAATTCAAATAACCCCCCAGGTAAGAGGGAGGGTGAGAGGGCGGGAGAAACCGGCCGAATTAGGGCTCCGCAGGCATCAGGAGGAGAAAGAGAAGCTAAGGGTCGGATTCCCCTACCCCCAGACTAAGAGAAGCCGTGCGGGCGGCGGCCAGCCCTCCAGCCTCGCTGTGCACTGAGGGGCGAGCTCAGAGGGGGGAGGCGGGCGCCGCGGGAGTCCGCGGGCCGGGGGGCAGCAGCGCCTCAGCCTCCCCCCACCTCCCCTTCTTTTCTTTCCCCGCTCCACCACGAGCCCGATTTCCTCTCAGCGGCAGTCGAGGGCGCTCCTCAGGGCCGGGCGGGGAGAGGGAGCAGCAGGAGCCAGTGCCGGTAGTGCCTTGTTCTCTGCTGCCGCCGCGGCGGACAACCAGGCCGGAGGGGGCTGCGCAGCCCGCTCCCCTCCCCGCCGCGCCTCCCCTCCAGGGACTCACCTCCTCGATGGCCGCCACCGTGTTCCTGCACTGGGCCATCCGGGTGGTGAAGTTGGAGGCAGTAGGTGACTTGTAATCCTCATTGGTTTCGGACACGAATTCCGACACGGAGATCTGGTCCGGCATGGCGGGGCGGGGATGAGTGAGGGGAGGAGGGGGGGGGAACAGGCGGCTCCGGGGGGAGGGGAGGGCCCAGGGAGGACTCCCCCCTCACATCGCTCGGCAACCGGCGGCAGCGCCCTCCTCGCAGCTCCGCCGTCTGGAGCGGTGCTGTTCCTTCTCCGCCACCACACAAGGAAATTCCCCCCACCCACACTCCTCCTCCGTGCGCGGTCACGCAGCACCGGGGCCGGGCACACGCCCAGCGGCGAGCGGTGGGGAGAGGAGGGGAGGCGGCGGCGGGAGCTCTCTCCGTACCCCGCCCTCCCTTGCGCTTGCTCCTCGATCTCACACACAGAGGGAGGAGGCGGGCCGAGGCGCGGCCGCGTGAATCTCCCTTTCAGTCACCGCACGCCCGGAGGAGACCTGACGCCGCGCACTTGCCCCCTGACTCCCGCCCGGAGAAGATGGCGCCCCCTTCCCTCTTTCCCTCATAGCCCCGCTGAGGAGAGAGAGGGAGCGGGAAGCTGTGGCAGGAGCAGTGCGGCTCTAGCTGAAGAGAAGCCTGTGGCTGGGTGATCCGAGGGACAGGCAAGGCGAAGCCAGCCCTGTAATTAAGATCGTGTTTAACAACAAAAACCAAGGGCAGGGGAAGGTGAGGGGCCATGCCTACCTGATGTAACGGGTGGAAGCCCGCAGGACAGGTCTTCGCACTGTCCCCTCCGTGGCTGCCCGGAGGTGGCAGGGACAGGCTCTTCCCTCACAATTCATAATCTGTATTTCGACAACTTAATCTATTTTACGAGTTTGTGCCCGAGTTTTGAGGGAGATAAAGCTGAGAAATGCTGACAAATTCCCAAGAGGTCTGTGCAAAAATAGTTTTAGGCCAACATTTGTATCTAAATTCTTAGAAAGCTTTTTTCTGTACTCGAAGTAGTGTTATAAGAGGAGGAGATGCCTTGTACTTTAATATAAAGTGACAAGGATTATTCAAAACAGAAAGAACACAGCTCAGCCACAGCTGTGGCATTTGTGACCGATGGGCAGAAAAGGAGATTTGCAAGGTGTCACCAGCGGGGCATGGTGCTTGCTTGCATTGGGAATACTGGGAATGTGGTCCACAGCAGTGATTTCTCTTGGCCTCAAAGCCCTTAGGACTTCTAGCTTCTTCATGCAGAAAGGAATGGAAGCCTGTATTTTGGCCCAGAAACTCTCCTCTGGTGATGGAGTTATTAGCTGTCTGTAAATGATTCTTTATTGCTGGGTTTTAAAACTCTCCAGGGAATTCAGATGAGTCAGCAGGTACTATTTTGCTACAGTTTGTAAAATGCCCATATAAATAACTGCAGGCCTACCCAGATGTTACAGCCCATTGTGATCCTTGCTAGTGTTGTGAGTTGTCCTTTAACATGAGCAATAAAGCTTATCGACCATATTCATTCTACTGGTTGTAGCAAAACAGATGAACAGTGGCTATCTGCATGTTCTTTCCCTTTTTCTAACTCTTACTAGTTTTTCCATTCTAAACTTCCTTATTTTCTCTCATAAAATTTGCCACCATTATGTTGCTTTTCAACTTCTGTTTCCACATAACTGTATTATAAACCACCCTCTTTGTTAAGTCTTGTGCATGTTTCAGTTGATGGAGCATATGCAGGTATAAATTGTTATGGTGCTAATGCATTAAACATGTATTTGTATGTTACATGGTACATGAGTGTATTTGTGACCAGATTGAGTATAAATACTCATTCTTGCTAAAAATATGTGGATCTTACGTCTCCATTTTTGTATCAGGTGATGGTGATTACCTTCAGAGCAATACTTACTACACTATTACCAAAACTTAGGAAACTAGCATTTTTAGACTTCGTATCTTCCAGTGTGGCATATGTATTTAGAAATTTTGAAAGGGGTGAAAGCCTTGGGGGGTCTGAAAGGCAAATAATACTAAATTTTAAATTTTGCAGCAGCTCTTCTATCTGCAGCAAATCAATGCAGTCTCTAGTGCTTGCATCTTCAGTTTGATATTGGAGTGTATACAACTAAGACAGTTCACACAATGAAATTTTAAATTCTATAGACTGTGTTTACATAGCAGGTCAGGCCAGAAGCAGCGATAGCTTCTAATCTTTCATTGAATAGATTCAGAACTTTGCCATCCCAGTGAAGCCTTTTTGCTTGACAGACTGTGCATTTGACTCAGCTCTCTTGTTTCTGAAGCTGAAGACTTGTGCTTGGGTGAACCTAGACAATTATCTAGCCTTGATCTCAAGACTCACAGTTTGGAGAAGCCATTGCTTCTGTCAGTGTATTCTGACAGAGGCAAGTCAAGATTACTGCATCTTCCAGCTGTTGCTTGTTATTACAATTTTTTCTGTAGGTTGAGGAGCTATTCAGTACTCAGACTTTTCTCCCTGTGAGCATTCTTATACACTGTAATGAAATAATTTCTCAGTTTTATTTCTTGATAAACTAAGCTGATCAACTTCCCTGTTTTGAAGAGGGCAGAGCCAATTTGAATTGCTTTGCATTGGCCACAAACCAAGATTGAGTACACAGATGGTGACTGTGGGTCAACTGACATGTGCGAACTCGTTACTTTGCAGTAACACTTTCATTAGTGTGTGTGAGTCCTGTGTCTCTCAGTGAAAGGATATTTTCTTAGCCTTTCCATCATTCTTACAGTTCTAACACCTCGATAAATTATTATTTTGGTCCTCTACTCCCTCATTGTTACATTCAGGAGTATCATTAGACTTTCTGGTCCCAGTATTGTACTGGCTCATCTACTTGTCCATTATGGTCTCTAGGTATTTAGGAGCAACACTTAATTTTAGCATCCAGCCTATTCTTTGAATTTACAAGTGTTGCAGTGGAATGGTTCAATAATGAAACAGCTGTGAATGAAGCTTGCTTATGCAGGATCTGGTACTACTATTTCGTTTCTAGGTTTTTCCTGCTTGCTTGCTCACCATTGCTCCTTCTCCTCTGGCTTTGGACACTCTTTCTTTCTTATCTGCAATTAATACTACATAAAATGTCACTGTTTTCTTTGACCCAGTCGCAAAGTTTGATGTCTTCTACTAAAGAGAAATAAGTAACAAAACCACTTTCTAAAGATCCAAGCTCTGCACATTACTGAAAAGCTTCTAATCTTGTAGATAAGCATAGACTACAACGCTATAAAGTGATGTGAAATATCAGGGTTTAGGTATCTTTCCCTTGCAGAAGATACGAAGCTCAGAATACTTGATTTGTACAAACATTTCTTCCTAAATTGACTTTAAACCAGTATTAATTGTTTTGTCAGTCAGTGTTATAAAAAACATGTCAGACCTTCAAATCCTTACATAGACTTCATTAATTTTTTTCTCACTTTTGTTTTTGAGCCTTTAGAAATCCTATCTCTATGTCAAAATATTTATTTGCATCACTGCCATTAATTAAGAACCCAAACCAAGGACCAGATACCATACACAGAACAACAAGGCAGCCTCTGGAGATCTGAGCATCTAAAATTAGCTAATGGAAGTGCAATTGAGTGAATATAAGGAAATACTTGACCGTTACTGATCTGCATGAGAGTCTGTGATCTCAGTGCACTATTGCCCAAATGTTTCATAAGACATTTCAAATAGAGTTTTCAAGAAGGATTTTGAGATAGATTGGGCTGTTTAAGAGGGAATTATTATGAGGGTCAGCATGGGAAGGTGTGACAGACCTTGTGTCCTTCAAATGTAACAGTTCAGAGTTGGAGGTTAATGTCATGGATCAAATAGAAGCAGAAGTTAGTGTCTGTTTAGTTGAAAGGGCATGGGAACTTGCAAGTGGTCTCTCTCCAAAGAAGCAACATAGAAGGCTATGAAACCCTAAGAAATTAAATGCAAATTCATCTAGCTAGGGCCTGACTGAGGTAGAGAAAGCCTGTCAAAGAAGCAAGCTAAGATGGAAGTTCACCTGGGTTTAGCACAGAAAATAAGCATAGAAATTTGAAGTTTCCCCATTGCAATGAAGCATGGCTCAAAGCAAAGTAGAATTTAAGAAAAGAGCAAAATTCTATTTCATCTCCCAGAGTCAGGCTTCCAAGCAAGAGTGAAACAGGTGGGACCACGTACTTCATGAATGTCTGTTAAATAAAATAGGATGACCTTTAAAGTAGAGAATACATTTAGAGACAAAAATAAATCTTCTCACCTGAAGTCTGCTATCCTTATATGATAAAGTCCTCACCTATTCAAACTTACGCCGCTCACTTGACATAAGTTTGAATCGGAATACCTGGCAGTGATGAACTAGCTGCCTTAGGTGCCTTTCAGGGGCCATCCTTTGCTGCACTGGTTTCTTGCCTGCAGCTGATGATCTGGAATCCATGGGAAGTGGTAAGAAATGTTAGTTTAATTTGCAGGACAGCTGTTTGGTCATGGGGGACATGGCAGGCCTTAGGGAGTGCAGAAAGGAACTTCCTTCAGAGGTCGTGCTCGTGAATTCTGCCTGAGCAAGGTCCTGTTCTGCAGGATCTCCTGACACTTGTATTCAGCTAGTTTGGCATTTCAGACTTACAACGGGCCTGCATCCTCCAGGGGAAGTGCTTATAGCAGCTCTGAGTAGTAGGGAAAGAGATTACAGAATCTATAGAACTTGGGATACCATCCACGCCTCAGGAAGATCTCAAGCAGGAAGGATTCTGTGGATAAGGTCATTCCCTCAAATTATACTGAGAAGACATAGTTTGTATAGCACAGCACCATGTATGAATAGAATATTTCAGTTGGAAGGAGCAACAACAATCATCTGCCTTCCAGAACTCAGAGAAATTGTCCTTTTTTCAGAATATATTAAGTAATTGATGCAACTGAACATAATCAGCAGGCAAGACTGAGAACAGCCCCCCTGTAACACAGAGCATGGTGCATCTCCTTTGAGAGGGACACCTTTTCACATCTGTACTGGTAAGTTAGAAGTACAAAAATACAGCATGGGTCCTGGGGTGCAATCAGCCATATTGCTAAGTTGTTAGAAAAGTCCCTCGCATAGGTTCTGAATTCTCAAAGTCTTCCTGAAGATAAGTAAGCACACTTTAGGACTTTGGACAGTGCACTAATACACACTACTAAATATACTCTTTTGGACAGTGCACTAATACACACTACTAAATATACTCTGTGTTTTAAAATCTCTTAAGACAGATGAGTTTGAGAATGATTGTAAGAATATTGTAATCTTTTCTGGTTTTAGAAACAGCCATGTCTTCTGCACCAGTTCTGTGAGTCTAACCTCCCTTTCCTGGTATTTAGCTTCTGAAAGTGAAGCATTCTGATTCCAGTTTAAACACAAAATTAATATAAAAAGACATTTTTAATTTCTTTTGATAAAAATGGAACAAAAAGTACTTTGGTTATTACAGTCCCTGTTCTCAAATAGTTCAGTTTAACTGCTGATGTACTTACCCGTCTCTTTATGTCTAATACCCAGAAAGGACTGAGACTGATACACAGAGATCGGTTCTTCATCCTTTCCCTCTTGGTTTAGGATCCTGTTTTTGAATGTGTATCTCTGCCAACGGTCGGGCTCATTCTAAGTATGTAAAGTAATGCTACAGTTGGCACCTAACTTCGCTGAAATCAAGCTGCTGCAGTCACAGTGGCCTTGCACTCTGTAGGTCCGAATTTAGCATTTTGTGGGTTTTAAGCACACCATTGTGTTGCCTATGCCATCATCTAAATAATTATGCGCTTTGCTCTCATTGCACTTATCATAGTACTACAATCTTAACGTTGCTTGCATCTTACCTATTTATGCACAGCATATTACTAAGTCATTACCCTCCAACACTAGTAGCTGTCCATTTTGAAACGCAGCACTAAGTATGGAATTGCTGCGAGGCACTTTTAGGCAGGGTCTGGGAATGTTCCTGCAGTTGCAGGACAATGGATACAGGGACTAAACTTAATGCAGTTCAGTGTTAAGTTAGACTTGATATGATAGTGGAGTTTCTTAGAGTACAATTATAATGTTTTGAAGTGCGTAATAAAATTATGTGGGAAATGGTAAACAGCTGAAAAAGCAAAGCATAGAATTTAAATAATCTCTGAGGCTTTTTCAGAACAGCAGAGGAGCTCAGGCAGTAGAAAGATGCACATGTCAGAAATTAATACATTAGATAGGACCCGAAGGCTTGTAGACTTCACAGAGAAAACAGAATGAACTAAAACTAAATCAATACAGCAAGATGTATATTAATTTTCCAGTCACCCTTATTAGTTATTAAACACAGTTTAAGGAAACAAAATAATTTCATTAAAGAGGGAGGACTGGGATAACTAACTTTGACTCTTTGAAGGTAACATTTATAACGGTAATAATAAATCCACTACAGGCAAAACATTCTAGCTTTGAACTTTATCAATGCAATCATTATTTTGCCACTAAGGAGAAGGCAAAAAAAAAAATGTTTATTTATGAGGCATTTATTGTGGATAGAGAATGAAATTGTAAGCATGAATTGTAAATAAAAACATCTGTGATTAATGAAATTAACAGAAAAAAAGGAGAAAAGCACAGATTTTTCTGAAGCACTGAATTATGTACACATATTGTAGTTAGAATGTTTGCTAAGTAACAGACAGTCTGAATGAGGCTTACAAGCCTCAATAATGTACAAAAAACCTGAGAGTGTTATAACAAAGATCTGCTTTCACTGGTGTTATGAGTAGCTGATCCCTCCCAAGCTTTGTAGGATTAGTGGCAGACAGTGATGAACTTCAGTAGAAATGAACAGACTTGTGGATGGCAAAAAGTTCAGACCTTTTATATCAGCCTTATTTGTGTTTAAGCAGTTGCACTAACTCTTAAGGTATCTGCTAGTCTTTCTTTTGGTGTCACTATCTAATGACTAAAAGGTGGTGAAAAATGAGTACACAGTTCTCAGTGGGTAAAAGAATGTATTACCACAGGAAAAAGAAAAAACAATCTAAGTCTAGATAAAAAGAAAAAGGGACACAATCATGATGTGCCTTAAAATAACTAAAAAAGAGATTGCTGCCTCAAAAAATGCTTTAAAAAGTCCATCAAGAAAATACCAATGCTTAGAATCCAAGGAGATGTAAAACATTGTGGCGTATGTAATGAAGTTTTCATGTCTTGGCATAAAAGGTTACGAGCAGATTATTAATGAAGAGATACAAATCACATGCCAGTATGTTGCTTGGTTTGTAGTAGTTAGTAAATTTATCTGATAAAAATAATAATTAAAAAATCCCTCATTTATGTTAACATATGTTAACATCAACATTTACAGTATTCTATGAAGGAAATAAAAAAAAGGAAATACTAACAACTGACTTGGCACTAAGCATTCAAATGCAGCAATGCTTGTGTGCAGTGCAGTTTCTTACTGTGATGCATGTAAGGAGCCTAAGGCAGACCTTAATTCATTTGCATTAGCATCCCAGGTAGCGGTACATGAAGAAAATTGGCTCCGCAGAACAAGGCTGTCCATGTGGGTCAGAGTAATCTGAGCATAATTGCTGTGTGCATGAATAGCGTGTTATGGAAAGTATCTTCACTGGATTGAGAGCTGATGCAATCCACTCCCTCCTGTGGTTTTAGAACACTTCTGAAACAAGGCTACCATGGTGCAAACTGCAGGCAACCTAATTTGATGTTTATGGATTTACAATCTTATTTTGTCCTGTAAAAGAATAATACATTCTGCAAAAATTTATCATTAATTCAAGTATATGCTTCAAAGCACGTATGCCATTTTGAAAGCTAAGACTTTTTCTGAAGCATTTTTGAAGTATTGGAACACTTGTTGAGTAAATACTACATTGCTTCATCTCTAAACAAGGGAAAAGAGTTAGTGCAGTAATTTGAAAGCAATTTACGAGAGTCAATTGAGATTTAATAAAACATTCCAAGGAAGTCACATGATTTCCATTCGCGTATTTTCATTATCTTTACACTAAAGGACAACGTAGCACTTTATTTCCAAAGCTATTGTCTTATGATAACTCTCATAAGAGAACCATTACAGTGCACAGTTGTCTTTGGCCAAAGGTAGAGATTATTTGCTTTATAATAACTTTTTTTTTTTTCAAAGTAAAAAAAGGAGGAAATTCTTTAATGCAGGATGTCTGATTATTTCATTAGAGTGGTCTGTGGTCCTTGTGGCTTGAGTAGTTCTGTATTTACTTTTCCACATGTACAACTGCAAAATCAGAACAGGGTAGGTACACCCTACCAATGCACTTAACCAAAAACTCAGTCTAGATATTGACGGCTCCTATAAGAAAAAAATGGAGAGATACCACTTCCCCCAAGTCAGAAAAAAGTAAATGTAGCTCAAACAGTATTTCAATTTCTATAAATATACTTAAAAAATGGAAAATGAAAATAAAAATACTTAGTCCATATATATAAACCAGCTATACAGGACAATTTATGGAAACCAAGGAAGTGGAGTTAATTTTCAAATACATATATAATGAAATTTGAAGTGCATGTTTGTTAAATATGTATCATACTGATGGATTCTTTATAAATGTGTAACAGTGAGATTTATTATTTATATTGCTTCAGGACTATATTAGGTTCTTTTCACTAAAAATCAGGATGGTGTTTCCTTCCTCAAAGAATATAAAACTCCACTTCAGGAAATAGACTGGATTCTGTACCTTTAAATTTGAAACAAGCTGGTTTATGGGGGTAGGATAGTGTGCAAAATGAAATGTGGCCATGGTTGTTCAAGTTCGTGACATACTGTGTATGGCTCAAGCTGTTCTATCTATTCCTATATGCATTCAATTAAAGAACCCATCTTCAATGATGTATTCTAGTACACTCCTGGGAACTAATCCAATGTCTTTAGCTATCTGTTTTACATGAAACCAATTATTGCAATATCTCTAATGTCTAAGTAGTATTGTCATGAGTGCCATTTTCAGCATGGGCCAAAGTATTTATTTCTATGAGATTATCTATCTACTCTTCAAATTTATTATGCTTTCAAGAATATCCACAGAGTCACATTAGCATTTTTGTATCCCACAGCCAAATGTTCAAGCAAAATTTCATACCAGATAAATAATCAGCTGACTGAACTTATTGCTCTCCACTTCTATTTACATAAAATGACCTCTTGCCAGTGCTTAACCTCTCTCTATCCTCATTCTAAGCCTGTGTGACATGCATGTGACAGCCTGTGTGCATTATTTGATGTAATCCTCTGGTTCTCCCCGTTGCTGCATGAGGCTAGTTCAGCTCTGCTATTGGCTACAACCACTGTCTGGAAAATTGTGAGTAAGAATGAAAGCAATGTTATAGGAGTTTGCAGAAGAAGGTGTCTCATGTCACCACAAATTACTATATTACAGCAATAATAAAATGAACCTGCAAGCACTGAGGTTTCAGTTGTGACACACTATTTGACCATGTGTGTGAGTTAGTGCAGTTCTTTGTACAATTATGCCTTTCCAGAAGTACAGTGGGAATGATTATCTAGTCTAAAAGAGTGTTTACACTTTGTGCCTTAACATAATGCTTGTTTGTTGCAAAACAGTATGTCACTTTCATAAATTATTTTTAGCAGGTTCTGACTTCCTATTTGCATGAAAAATGCTGGTTTTGTGGAGAACTCCAAACAACTGTGAGGTAGCTAAGTGTCATTATCATTACTGTTGTTACACTGTCATGGTTTGTTACTGGTAGTTCACTTTTACTAGCAGACATTGTGTAATAGGGGGTGTGTGAGCTCTTCAGTGACCTAATATAGCAGTCCTTTATTGACCTAATTTTATAACAAAACTTTCACTTATGCCTATCATCAGAACAAGTGGAGAGCTTTGATTAGGTGGCTTGGGACTCACTTTATTAAAGGAAAATAGCTAAAATGTAATGGAGTGTCAAAACACAGTACTTGCATCTGAAACACAGGAATGGGAGGTATTGC